ATTTATAAATGAAAAGAAATAACTTATAACCTACACTTGCTGACTAATGGCAGTCAAGCGTAAGGTTTCTTGCTTCAAAATCAGTCATAATGTAGTTTTACTTGAACCGTTTTTTCACTTGACTGTATTATTAGTACACAACAGGCTGTGTTTGCTACTGTGACTTTAAGAATCTCTATATTCAAATGACCTCATTTTTAATTTGATAAACACCAGCGTGTGTGTATTTCCCTTTTCAGAAGGAAATGGTTGGATGGAAGGATAGTTATTATACATATGTATATATCTAATTTTGTGTGTTTTTTAATAAACACATTATAAGAAATAGGTCAACAAGTATGTGTGTGTATATATGTACAATATAAGTGTATATACAGTTGAAGTCAAAAGTTTACATACACCTTACATACACCTTGGAAATACTTTACCAAAATAAGAGGGATCATACCAAATGCATGTTATTGTTTATTTAGTACTGACCTGAATAAGATATTTCACATAAGATATTTTACATATAGTCCACAAGAGAAATAATGTAATGGTTAATATAATAATAATAGTTGAATTTATAAAAATGACCTTTATACTGTGTTCTTACCTGAATTTTGAGATCCATCTTTTCACACTGAGGACAACTGAGGGACTCATATGCAACTATTACGTAAGGTTCAAACGCTCACTGATGCTCCAGGAGGAAAAAAACGGGCATTAAGAGCCAGAATGGAGATATGTACTTGTGTACATCTATCTGTCTTTTAATATTTAATATTTATTATCTATACTTTTATATATTATATATAATTTATGTAATTTATTACAATAGTAATTTTTCTGAATATGAATACAATCAAACTTTTTCCCCTTCTTCTTCGATAGCATGTCGGTCAGGCTTCTACAAGGCCTCTGCTATGGATGCGTACAGAGGAAATGGGTTGTAATACTCAACCAAACTTTGAATTAGGATCATAGGCCATGGCAAAAATAGGCTAAAAAAATATGTGATGTGACCCTGGAGCACAAAACCAGTCATAATTAGCACAGGTATTTGTATCAATAGCCAATAATACGGTCACGAATTTAGATATCAAGAAGATATTAATTTTCCTACCGTAAATATATCAAAACTTAGATTTTTGTCATAACTTTAAATGTTTGATTAGTAATATGCATTGCTAAGAACTTAATTTGGACAACTTAAAAGGTAATTTTCTCAGTATTTAGATTTTTTTGCTCCCTCAGATTCCAGATTTTCATATATTGTCATAATCTAACAAACCATACATAAATGGAAATCTTATTTATTCAGCTTTCGGATGATGTATAAATCAATTTACCCTTATGACTGGTTTTGTGGTCCAGGGTCACATATTACATTTAAAATTGGTATATAATACCAACAATATAATATATAATAAACTATACAATACATAATATTAATGTCATAGTTTTTTAAATATATAAAGTAATATTTTAATAAATCATTAAATGCAAATGCAGAAATATAATTATTTATTTGGTAATATCACATTTAACATTTTAATGTACAGTATTAATGGGCTCTTTATACATGAAAATTTAAAGCTGTCTTCATTTCCTATGAAGGGGTATCTCGTAAGGTGATGGTTATATACGATAGACCTTTGGCATCAAAAGTCTGAAACCCTTTGTTCTAAATGTTATGAACATTTTACAAGGACATACAATATTTTTTCCTTTTTTTGGGCCTTTTTATTTGATTCATACAAAAAAAAGGCATGATATGTGACGCAGGTATATTTTATAATTGGCTGTCAGGAGGGTCAGGGATATGTAGTATTCGTTATCCTTTGAAAGCTTTAAACATCCTCAGTTACATATTTTTCTGCTTGTGCTCGTAAATCTCTGAAGCTTTAGTCACAATTTTTGTCTCCTGCTTCCTGCCTTTGAATTTTACACGGGTGTGCTGTGCTTCAGTGGGTCCTCTTATATCTCGCCTGACCTTTAAACCCGCACTCTGTGAGCACCTCGAAGCCTGTCATTGGTCGAGAGGAGGGACGAGCTCTCCTGATCCTGTGGTTAAGTATGATTCAGCCCCTCAGAGAACAAGAGCGAGAGCGAGACAGGCAGGAGCGAGAGGCAGCGTAATGAGGAGAGTTACCCAGGATGCCCGGATCAACAGCCCTTTGCTCTTATGAGAGCTGACATGCCTGTAACCGTGGAAACTCCACTAGTGGGCGGGGACTGATTGAGGTATATGTAACTCTGATTGGCCTGTATTTCGAGTGCTCGGCCTCTGGTCCACACCGCTTGAAATATTCAAGAGACAATCCGCCATGTGTCGAGAGGAGACTTCTGGGATGATGTAGTGCTTGTATTTGCATGCATGTTTTGCATGATTCGGATATTGACTGATGTTTCGGCGCACATCTTTCATCGGCAGGTGTGTGAGAGATGGCAAACAGAATATTTATGCAAATTCTGAGGAGACATAAAGTGACGAATACATCAAATAAAGCTGACAGATTCACGACTTCCTAAGAACCGAATGCAGAGCATTTTAATGCTACATATATGAATGTGTAACACAAGTTAGATGGTACAGGAAGTATTTACATTGATCTTCTGTGTTAAAGACAATGTGAAATCGAAATGGAGAGTATTTATTTAATAAAATGTGAAATTTGCACTATTTACATTGTTTTAGATTTTGGGATCAGTTAAATGTTTTTTATTTAAAAATAATTTTATTCAGCAAGTAAATTGATCAAAAATGACAGTAAAGACATATATAATATTACAAAAATCTATTTAGAGTAAATGCCGTTCTTTTGAACTCTATTCATTAAACAATGCTGAAAATGCCACAAAAATATTAAGCGACACAGCTGTTTTTCACATTGATTATAAAAATAAATGTTTTTCTTAAGCACCAAATCAGCGTATTAGATTGATCTCTGTTGGATCATGTAACACTAAATACTGGAGTAATGGCTACCAAAAATTCAGCTTTGGCATCACAGGAATAAATTACATTTTAAACTATATTAGAAATAGAAAAACATTGTTTTAAATTGTGATAATATTCCACATTACTGTTTTGATCAAATACATGCAGCCTTGGTGAACATAAGAGACTTCTTTCAAAAACATGAAAATTATCCCAAATTTTAGTGTATGAGGGCAAAAGGCAAAAAAGTTCAAGTTTTATCAATTTATTATTATTACTCACCATATTAATATTTAGATTGTGGTGTTCACATAATGGTCAGAACATGTTGGCTATATATAAATGCATTATTGTCCTGTTTTAACTGTTTAACTCACCTCCTACATCTTTTCCTGTGATATTTTGAGACACTTTTCTTTCATTACTCTGAACTGAAGCATGTCTGTTCTTTATCTGTGAACCGAACACATGCTGGGATATCAGCGTAGCTGTTTGTTTATCACTTTAGGAGTCTTTGTGTGCGTACGGCAGTTAGCGGTGTCACTGTGTCAGCACCGCGCAGCAGATCAGAGTACGCGGAGTTAAGACTCGCACAGCTCATTAAAGATCGAAACGTCAGCTCCTTCATTCATCACTAGCGACCGGGGCCCAAAACGGAGGCCCTCGTTTGTACTCACAATCTGACACCATCATTAGCACCTCTGTCTCTCTCTCTTTCCGCTCAGGGCGGCTCGAGAACACTGCTGTTGTATGAATAGAAGGGCTGAGGTGCTCTGGCTGCGTGCCAGCAATGTAGTATGGGGTGAAAATGACTCACTACACACACAGAATAATTTATCACTCCCGAAAAAGACAAGACGCGCTCCGCCAGCCCTCTCATACTCTTTAATTAGAAGTGTAATTAATCCTCCTCTTTTACATGGAAATCAATCTCAATTCATCTCTCTCTCTCTCTTTCTTTTTCAGTGAGCGTCATCTTAAAGGAAAGGAAGGGCACCGACAGTGTAACGCTGGCATGGCAGGGTCCAGAACCTTCTGACGGGACCGTAGTGGAATATGAAGTCACCTATTATGAAAAGGTTAGATGCTTTGGTGTACGCTTATCTTCATGACCTTTTGGCCCTATGTGAGTCCTCCTTGCACTGACTGGACATATGGCAGCTCACTTTTATCGTTCCCCGGGGAGAGACTGTAATGTTAACACAGACATGCTTCATTCGGTCCCAATTAGCATTCATGGATCTCCTGTCTGCCAAACACCTTTGAGGTTGTCACATTTTAGACTTGATGACATTATTGTCCTGAACAAATTACAAAGGCTTTGTTCAAACGGGCAGCAAAAATCAAATTTTTACTTCATCCAACTCAAACCCATTTCGTTTTTTGTCTGAACAGACAGAAAAACACATCTGATATATTTACAAATCCATATGCGATTGTTTGAAATCCGATTAAAACCTTGTCCATGTGTGGTTTGAAATCCAATTAAATTAAGATTATCATTCTAAATGATCAAATCTGATTTCAAGTAGTTTTTCTGACATCTTCATTTGAGACATATTGCGTATTGTACGAATAGAAGGGCAATATATATTACACATATTGTGTAATATATGTCATATAAAGTGTGCAATATTGTTGGCAATTGGGTCTGAATAGTACATAATGTGACATACTATGTAGTGAGGGAATTTTTTATGGCCTGTGTAACTGATAAATACACATTAAAATTCTATTGTAATATTAAATATATGAAATATATATTAAAATTGTACTTGGGAAATTTAGTATTCCAGATTTTCCCAGTTTTTTTTTTCTTCACTGGCAGATACTCATTCATATAACCAATAAATATATATTAAAATTCTATTCTACTATTAAATGAAAACAAATATATATTTAAAAATTCTACCTCATTAAAATACAATGTTTTCCTCACCTTTTTTCTTCACTGGCACATTTTATGGCGTATAACCAATAAATATATATTAGAATTGCTTTCTAATATTAAGTATATATAATTTTTTTTATTATATTCAAGTACTATTTGTGTCTAAGTAATTAAAAATGCAATTTAAAATCAATTATTTTAAAGGTGTATATATACTACAGGTAAGGCATCACAATATTATAATGCACATTAATTACAAGATATACTAAAGATTATATTTAACAATGTTAAACTGTTAAGATGAACTCAAAGTGATTGTTAGATGCACACAAATGTTATGTAAATGTAAAAAAATAGCAGAAATGAGCATGCACATTTAAATATATCTCCAATATAATTCAATTACTGATATAGTACAGATGTATATCTAGTGTGAACTGCTTTCTGCAGTGACATTTCTATACACAGGGTAAGTGATTTCATGCAGTCAGTTCTTTAAATCCCTCGGTGACACCCTCCTGTACCGCTGTACTTGACTGTGTGGCATGAAAACAGGGTGATGGGTAATTATTATGATTTATTCAGGTGATCATGGACTATGTGGCTTTTAGATGGAGCGCACAGATGGACAGGCTTGGCTGCCGCTGTGTCCGCGATATGTTTGATGCCGCCTGTTTGGCCCATCTTAGATTTAATAGCACCACAGGAAATATGGCAATCCCTCTCTTGCAGGGCGTGGCGTTCCTGTCTGGAACGTTAGATTTCCCTAAGCGAGCTGCCACGTGCCTCTTTAGCGAAGGGCTTACATGAAGGAAGATGAATGGATATCAATAAGCTGTGAAATATTAACATGAGCACACTGTACGGAATTCTCCCTAGGATTAGACAATGAGAATTGGACAATGAGGCGACAGATCCAAGTCAATAGGATTGATGTCATTTATCTGGATAAATTCCAGTTACTGGAAGCCTAAAAGCTGTTAGAAATCTGCGGTTTCTTTTCAGTTCAATCCGTCTATGTGAAAAGCATTGTGTTAGCCATTGGCAGGAGGTGCTTGAATGAGCACTAAATTCCATCTGAGCTAATTGGCAATTGACTGATTTGAATCCAATCTGCATGCTTTGTGTTCTTGTTCTTCATTTTTTCTGTGAATGAGAGTCAATGCATTATGGATGATTCGACAAAGTTCATCTAGACTCCTGGGGTTTGCAGGACAGGAAAGGATTCAGGTATCATTGTGAGGGATCAAGACATCTGTCTTCATTGAAAGCAGCCCTGTTCACTTATCATTCCATTCTTTCCTACTATAGAACCAGCAGGATCAGAACTACACTGTGCTGAAGACCAAATCCAACAGTATGACGGTGGATGGACTCAAGCCGGGAACCACATACGTCTTCCGGATTCGAGCCCGTACAGATGGAGGCTATGGGAACTACAGGGGAGAAATTGAGTTGGAGACGAGCCATGAAGGTGAGTGAAAAACCATCCTTCATGTACCTTCATAAATCATCCAGAAATGTTTTACCTGGTTAAGGTCCCTTGCTTGCAGCAGTGAAGACCTCCTTTATTTCCTGGTGATTGGTCACAGTGTTCTCCTCTAGTTTTAGAGAACTGACTATGAAATCTATCCCTGAAATTGTCACTTTAAAATGGACAGTTCTGCTCCTGGATGCTGATTGGTTGATACCATATGTGCCAATTGCACAATATAGTTTTATTGCACAAAACACTCGTTCACCATATCACTACTGAAATTGCTTACATGTCAGACTATATCCAATAGCAAAAGGATATTGTTTAATGAATTTGCTGCAAAATAACATTCTAATGAAATTTTGTGTGCTTAAGAATTCTCAAGAAGGCACTTCAATTGAACTCTGTTGTGCTAAATTGCCAGCTTACGGTTAGGCTAATGAGCCACTTCATGTAAGAGTTGTATATTGTGATTATTATTACAAATATAATTATTTATTGAATATTTGCTTTTTTATTATATTGCTGATGCTTCATTAAAGTAATAAGCCTCTAAAATGACAGAAAATTGTAATAAGGCATGCATTACAATTTTAACATAGTTAGTTTTATTCTTTATTAGAAACCCATTTACAGTGTCCTTGATTTTGTAGATACCTCTATAATTTCTGACTTTGTAAGTGCCACCAAACCCCTGATTTCTTATTCACAGCTGAATATCTTCATATTTTCAAGGACATTTGTTTCGGCCAAACTGTAACCTGTGTCACACGCATGTATTTCTCCATCACATGCCGCTGATTGAATTTCCGATCCGCTGCGCGCATTGAAAGAGGCTGTACAATATTTATACATGTGAACACGTTCAATTAGTCCCCTGAGATAGACGAGGCTCCTTACTTGCTGCAGTTTGCTCTCTTGCTGTGGTGTTTGAAGTCTGAACATGTAGATTTTCTGTCAGTGTTCCTCTGAAGTGTGAGCAGCTTCAGCTGAGAGTAGGCAGATGCCCCGCTGTGTTTGTCTCATAGTTTGTGTACCATATGGGACACGCCACCATTCTGTGTGCATAATTAGAGGGACGCTTTCTTAAATCTTTTTATTGGAACATTATCTGGAAAAATTCAGCTTATTTTACATCTCTTTGTTTGTTTACTAAAATATTAGTCATAATTATTTTTGTTTGTGATATAACAATTGTTAATGATGTCAGAATAGTTGCCATGGTATTAATAAAGCATTTTTAACAGTTTCTAATTGTGTTTACTATGTGGTATTATTTTCTTAATTAGTACCACATAGCTTAGACATAGATTGGTAGGTAACAATAAATATTAATGTATTAAATAATTTTAAAACAGCATTAAAAAAAAAAAATGTATGCAATGGTGAGCACCTGAAATAAATAAATAAACACACACACACACACACACACACACACACACACACACACACGCACGTACGTACGTGTTTTTTTTTTAGGCTTTCTGACCCCAAGACTCAACTATTTTCTGCAGTTCTCCAGCTGTGATCCTTGGAGTCTTTGGCCACTCAAACTCTCCTCCTCACAGGGCATTAGGACGATATAGACACACGTCCTCTTGCTGTATTAGAGAAAAATAGAATAGAAAAATAGAAATTAGAATTTTTATTTTTTTTATTTTTGAATGAAATATCAAGTGGATAAACAATGCAAATTTATTTTCACAGCCTTCTTTGATCATATTTAACAAGGGTATGAATAATTTTGAGCACAACTGTACATATACACACACATACACACATTTTTTTATGCATTCATAGAAATTTAACCTAAAATAATAAATCTAAACTATGGATATTGGATATGCCAGAACTGTGGTAAATTTTCACAAATGCAGGAACCACTGAAGTTAATCGCTGCTTTAATGTTGGGTTCTCTCTCTTTCTATTAGATATGCTGGCGGTTGGAGATCCCAACCAGCAAACCATACTGGCCATCTCTGTGGCAGGCGGTGCAGTGCTTCTGGTCTTACTAGTGGCCTGTTTTGTTGTGAGTGGACGGTAAGAGTAATTTACTGTTCTTCTCTAAGCTTTCTCGGCTTATAGATTCAGACCATACCTTATTCTTTAAAAATAAACCGACCCCAAGCATGCAGCCTTCTGTATGATGAAAAAGCAGTTAATTGGCAACTTCTACACTGACAGACTTGGATGAATCAGTGCTAATCTGGGTTGTTTAACCATCAACAAATCCATATGAAAGATAAAGAAACCATGTTTCGTTTAATCAGCGAAGAAGCGTAAATATAGATAGACAGAATCGAGCAAATGAGATGTTGTTGTGCATCTGTCAGTGTGTGTATGCCTTTGCATGTGTGCATTTGCACAAAATCAAAAGGACACAAAATTGTTTAGCCCTCTGATTGCATAGTGTGATCTGTAGAGATGAAAGCAAACACTTGAGAGAACAATTGAAGAGACAGACATAAGGGAGAAAAGCAAGAGTAGACGCTCTGTACGGCTGAGAATGAGGGAGCTAATGAAATGGAAATGAAAGGAGAGGGGAATCTAAGGAGACGAGGAACAGAAAGCAGAAAATAAACTGCTCTCAATGACATGAAATGGTCAGAATGAGCCATGAGCTGATCTTTGTGTAGGTGTGTGCACCCTTTTGATCTTCCTTAGATTGTTATATTCAAAGTTGGGTTTCAGTAAACTGTAATTTTGTTATAAATAAATATTTTTAAATATAATTATAAATAGAAATGTATGTATAAAATATAAATTAAAAATATAAAATTTAAATTATTTATAAAATATAAATGTGTATGTGTATATATATATATATATATATATACACTGTATATACAGTGTATATGTGTGTATATATATATATATATATATACAGTGGGGAAAAAAAGTAAAAAAGTAGCCACCAATTGTGGTATATATATATATATATATATATATATATATAGATACAGTATATATGTAATACATATACATATGTGTGTGTGTGTATACATTTCTTATATAAAAAAAATGAAACGGTGTGACAAAGGCAATGTGCAGCTACCCAATTTAATTTCTCCTAGCAATATTGCAGAAAGACATTGCATTGTTACAGTTTTGTATTTTAGTATTGCCCGGCACTCGCATTCCTAATTCAAAGGCTGATTTACTAGGGATTTTTCAACTGTTGGATGCTATATGATCCAGTATGTTGTAACACAGAATGAGATTTCCATCTGCTTTGCAATTTGTAACCCATAATGCACTGTGACAGAAAGGTCCCGTAGGATGTGTTATGTCGGCCAAGTTTATGCCTGCAAGCCAAAACCTTGGTGCTGCCACCTCTTATTCATGGTTTCCACCACCCCCATCCCAATGCATGTGTGACTGCTTGTGGGAAGACCCTCATGGAAGCAATAAAAACAGTTTTGATGCTGATCTCGAATGACGTGTTTCTAGTGTGTTGTGGAGGCCAATGAATCGTAATGGTGAGTGAAGCTAAACTCTAATTGCATTCGGTCCCTTGGCATTGGATTATACTGAGCTATATACAGTATACAGGACTTAACAAGGTATTCAGTTCACAGTGCCCTCAGTTCTTTTACTGCTTTCAGAACCTCAGCTGAGCTTTGAGAGAGCGAGGCCTTTCCATTATTGACAGTTTGAGGTCAATGATTTCTGATTCTCTCGCTGAGTTGAAAACATACATCAGTTTATTGCTAAGTCTAACTCAAGTGGGAATGATAAGCAAGATGTTAAGGTTTTGAATGCTTAACTTGAGCAAGGTCATGGAGATCTGAAGAGATCTTTTTTTTGTTTTGACAGAATTTATACAGCAGATTTTAAGATTTGTGACCAGTCAGGGTTTCTTGGTAATGTCAAGGAATTTTAAATGTGTGATTTGTGACATGAATTCCTAAAAGTTCTCAAAAGAAAGAAAATTTCTGTTCTCCATTTCCGTAATTTTTTTTATGACTTTTTTTTTCTGTAATTCTCTAAAAAAAGTTTTTCTTTGTGCATGCATCTTTTCCCTCCATTTTCAAATTTAATTATTTATGTCTAGTAATCATGAAGAACTGGAACAAATCATGGAAATGCATTGGTCAAGAGCGATGGCAACACTGGCCCATGAGTTTGTCTTCTGTTTGCAAACCAAAGTTAAGGTTGGTCAGAGAAATATGAAGAGTTCAGGCATGTTTAGTATGTTCAACTTGATTTGGGCTCTCAGTGATTTGGACTTGGCCAGCATTCTGGTACTTGATGAGGAAAAAACAGCTTTGATTGGCTGGTGATGATGCTGGCAGATGGTCTTCGTTTGTCTTTCACTTCCCCCTATTTTCTGCTTATTTCCAGAAAAGCAATTAAAAATGAAGGACACACTTTAAAGACTTTAAAGATCCTTGTGATTGTGTCTGTGGAACATTTCAGTGCAATGACAGATGCCGCAGTATGTCTAGCAGGTGCCTACTAACCAAAGACGCATACATTTGCAAGTCTGAAGAGCATTGTTTGCCAGCCATGAAAACGAGTTGAAGACTTCAAGCTTCTGATATTAAAACAATTCCCTTTACCTCCAGTTGGACGGCCTCCAAACCATTCGCTAATGCTCATGTTGGATGGAATTATTGCAGTTTAACGATGAAATCTAGAAGCCACATGGCTGATTTCTGCAGGAGTGATAAATGAATTTTTGGTTAATATTCCATTATTGGGGTTATTGCATTTCTGATTAGTGGTTATGTGTTTGTGTTATGCGAGGAACCTTTTCGTCTTTTCCCCCCTGCCTGTCTTACTCAATCACATCAAGGTTTGGCAGATTTGTAGTGTGCTAAATCATGCAAGAAGGGGGAAAAAAATGATACATTGCATAATAATACGCCATATAACAGCTGCTCTCTGATGGTTGAATATTCTATGGGACTTTTCGAAAATGAGTAAATGATTCAATTCTATGAAATTGTACAAACACAAAATTATCCAGTTTAGACTGCAAACATCATTTCAACAAAAAATGGTGCACCAGTTGCTGTTTCTGCTGGTTTTTACTTCAGAGCATCACATAAACAATCAGTGAGTAAAAAAAAGTTTGGTGTCTGGAATCATTTTAAAACTATTGTGATATAGCAGCTGAAAACAGACATATAAAATCATAAACAGAGATTTCAGTGCCACATTTCTCTCTGTGTAGTGAAAACCCACAGTATGGTGTAACTGATGCCATTTAGGGGAAGTAGATTTCGTTCACAATCTACCAACGTGAATGAATGTAGCTTGTAAATGTGTTTTGTTATTCAGTTCTTTGTTTGAGCAGTGTAGATCATGCTTTGGAGGCACAGCCGAGGGCTTAATGGGTCTTGTTCGGTTGATTTAGTGCAGACATTACCTGTATCTCGCCCTTGGGTTTGACACCGTACCGTGACTGTTTAGTCAGTCCATTTGTATGTGTTTAACGGAGAAATATAGCAACACATTCAAGAACACACACAAAATTGAATTACTATGCCATTCCGAAATGGTTGCATGAGCGTGTTCGGTTGTTAAACAGGGTTGTTTTTTCCAAACCGTTCCATCTGGCTATTCCAGTGCCTTTCCAAGTAGAAATCGCTGGCTGTGTAGCCCCTAAGCACATCATGACTCCCTCACTCTCAGCACGCAGCTTCACTTAGAATTTCATTTCCATGCGTTTGATGGCAGGCCAGCTGTAGATTTGTCTGGACGTGTCAGCATAACATTCCGGAATATATAAGTGGATGATATGTTGGATGCATGTGCAATGACTGGAGATGAGACAAGGATGCGCCATCAATCAGCTCGATTTTCTTCTGGATTTCAATTAGCGTAATGAACCCTTCTCAACTGATAGAGTCAGTGTTTTTAAAAGCAATTGTGAGATATAAACTGGAAATTTTGACTTTTTTTCTCAGAATTGAGTGATACAAACTAGCAATTCTGACTTTATAACTCAAATTTGTGAGTTTATATCACAATTCTGAGAGAAAAAGTCAGAATCGCAAGTTTGTATCACGCAATTCTGAGAAAAAAAGTCAGAATTTCCAGTTTATAACTCACAATTGCGAGTTAACAGGCTTCCGTAATATTGCCAATATTCCTCTGGTAATTTTTTTTTTTTTTTTTTTTTTTTTAGAAAATATTACACATTATTTGGAATGAATTTCTATATTTTCAGATACACTTCAAATCGAAAGTTTACAGTATTTATAATAGTATATCCACGTTTTGTCATTATGTTATTAGTTCTGTATTCTATAGCAATCTTTATTTGTATTTTAAATCATAAGATTATACTATGACTTGTCAGATATGCTTATAAATATATAGCAGAATATAATGATAACTGTTTATTGGTAATGATAGGTTTATTTTGGTCTGTTAGGTTTGTTTTCATCAGATGTGTCAATATGTCCTTTTCTGAGAAAGCTTGCAAAATTACAAACTTCTGGAGAGAAATCATTAATAATCCATGATATTGACCAGCAAAAGTCATGGGTCAAGGATGTGTTGACTTTCTTTACTGAGTTTTCCAGATAAAATACATGCTTCAGTGAACCGTTCCAAATTAACATTGTCCTTTAGGAGAACAGACACGTGGCAACATGCAAGGACATCAGTTGAATTTTGTTCTGTTGTTCTTGCCACCCTACTGGGATGTATTGACCATGCCAGTGGCTTGGCATGTCCTTGTAGCAGGTGAGAGCCGGAGCTGGCCTGCCGTTCGCTACATGCTGAACAGATCTTGAGACCCAGCTGGAAGCTGCTTTACCTCATTAGCTCAATGAGCTGGAGTATCATTATGTAATGAACTAGTTTGAGGGTCAGAGGACAAGAGTTACCACATTAAAATTACAGTGTTTTATTCTCAGAGCACATCATCTCATGCTGAGGCTGTTCGGGGAAACCACTTGGTTCTTTGTCTGAAGGGGTTGAGTTTATATTGCCACATTATTTATGTGCATATATGCTCCAAAATCAATTACAGCCAAAGAAAAAGCTTGCACGTGATACACTGTCGGAACAGCTTGTCACTGGGGCATTATCCTTAAAGA